GCATAGAGGCCAGCAGCCATGCCCTCTAGGGCCTCTAGGCCCTCCAGCTGCTTGTGGCCCCGGCCTCCCGCGCGGTCCAGGGGCGAGCTCGACCTGTAATACCCAGCACTGTCGTCAGGGGGGGTATAACAAGAGACTAAACAACTACTTCATAATAAATAAACTTCATAATAAAGAAACAACTTCATAATAAAGAAACAGCTACATAATAAAGAACAACTTCAAAATAAAGAAACAACTTCATGAATAATAAAGAAACAACTTCGTATTAAAGAAAGAACTTCATAATAAACAACTTCGCAATAAAGAAACAACTTCATAATAATGAATTAACTTCATAAAAAAGAAACAACTTCATAATAAAGAAACAACTTCGTAATAAAGAACAACTTCGTAATAAAGAACAACTTCATAATAAAGAAACAACTTCGTAATAAAGAAACAACTTCATAATAAAGAACAACTTCATAATAAAGAAACAACTTCATAATAAAGAACAACTTCATAATAAAGAAACAACTTCATAATAAAGAACAACTTCATAATAAAGAAACAACTTCATAATAAAGAAACAACTTCATAATAAAGAANTTAATAAACAACTACTTCATAATAAAGAAACAACTTCTTAATGAAGAAACAACTTTTTAATAAACAACTACTTCATAATAAAGAAACAACTTCTTAATGAAGAAACAACTTTTTAATAAACAACTACTTCATAATAAAAAAAAACTTCTTAATAAAGAACTACTTCATAATAAACAGTAACTTCATAATAAAGAAATAACTTCATAATAAAGAAAATCTTAATTACTGATTAATTAAGAGTTGAGACTGAAATCTGTTAGCCAACTTTGAACCTATGATGATTTGGTTTGTTAAATTTTTAGTTGAATAATGCATGGTTGGAACGCATATAACATGTCGCTTGTGTTGTAGTTTTAAAAACATTCTTAAGAGCGTTTTAAAAGCGTGTTATGATAAAAGAGGAATTTTTTATGAAGTATTTGAAAATGGTTTTATATACATTAGATAACATGAAATAACGTGAGAAATTAGGCGCTGAAATGATATACGATTTAACTAATTTAATGACCGAATTAAGCCTTAAGAATAACAAATAACATGCCAGGCATTGTCTACAACAAATTTTACAACGGAAACAATCAAGAAATATTTTATACAAGGGCATGGATACCATCATCCTTTGGTCCATAGGACTACATCATGCAAATGGAGGAGGGAAATACGCTACCGACTCAACAAAACGAACGCGATCCTTACGCTTTGGGTAACTCATTCATTATAACTCATTATTCATGTCATTCATGAAATGGTGATGTCAACACACTAATACAACATATAGTTTGTTGAAGTTAAGCTATCCAAAAATTTACAGGGTGCTGGTGCAAGGATTCTTTGATAGGACGCTGGTGAACAGGTCCTTTTTTGATAGGATACAAGGGCAAAGGAATTTTGAAAGGGTGACTGCATGGTATGCACAGGATCTTTGACAGGATACAAGGAAAAAATATTTATAAGGTGACTATTGCCAAGGATCTTTCATGGGATAGTAGGGCAGAGGATCGTTGATAGGATGGCTGGTACACAGGATCTTTCGTAGGATACTAGGGCAAAGGATCATTGATAGGGTGGCTGGTGCACAGGATCTTATATTCCATCAGAGCGCAACAGCCTCCCAGTAATAAACAAGAGTAAAGCATGCGGACAAAGCAAACATGACGAACAACTTGCAGTCACAAACAAAACTCTAGGCACACAATACAAGGAAAACCATAACTACTAAAACTATAATAATAATCTCACGGTGTTTGCAACAAAATACAAAAAAAAACACACACAAACAACGTAATTTCGGCACGTATTGGTCTTCAAGGACCCAAACTTAACGGAGCAAGGGTATATGTGTTTACAACTGCAGGTAAATGGAAACAAACAGGGAACTCGGATGCAGGTTTCACTTCAAAGTTACAACAATGGTCTTCAAGGACCCAAACTCAACACAGAAATGGTAGGGGTATTCACGACTGCAGGTATATAGAAACAAACAGGGAACTCAGACGCAGGTTTCACTTCAAAGTTACAACAATGGCCTTCAAGGACCCAAACTCAACATAGAAATGGTAGGAATGTTTACAACTGCAGGTAAATGGAAACAAACAGGGAACTCAGAAGCAGGTTTCACTTCAAAGTTACNATTATCTTAGAAGATATAGCAGACAAGATAATGTAGTATATTATCTTAGAAGATATAGCAGACAAGATAATGTAGTATATTATCTTAGAAGATATAGCAGACAAGATAATGTAGTATATTATCTTAGAAGATATAGCAGACAAGATAATGTAGTATATTATCTTAGAAGATATAGCAGACAAGATAATGTAGTATATTATCTTAGAAGATATAGCAGACAAGATAATGTAGTATATTATCTTAGAAGATATAGCAGACAAGATAATGTAGTATATTATCTTAGAAGATATAGCAGACAAGATAATGTAGTATATTATCTTAGAAGATATAGCAGACAAGATAATGTAGTATATTATCTTAGAAGATATAGCAGACAAGATAATGTAGTATATTATCTTAGAATATATAGCAGACAAGATAATGTAGTATATTATCTTAGAATAGAAGATATAGCAGACAAGATAATATAGTATGTTATCTTAGAAAAGAAGATATAACAAACAAGATGATATAACATATTATCTTAGAATAGTACATCATCTTATATTATCTCTGAAACGTTTTCTAAAAGATATGAATTTTTGTGGACTAAACTTTGCTTTTGAATTTTTAGTTAATTTGCAATTTAAGCAAACAAGTGACATCAATCTTAGAATGGATGATATAGCAAACATGAGAAGAGGTATGAAAGCTTTCATATTGAGACAAAGAAAAGATTTGGTTTCGAAAATAACGGTTGATTTCGTCGCATTTAAACCGCTCAGGACATTAGAACCAGTAGACTTTTCGCGATGAAAATCATCTCCAAAGATCATTTAAGGTCATCTCATTAAGTTTTTAATCAGGAAATTTGAATATTTTTAGTGCATATCAACGTAAGAAACGAGGAACCTACGTCGGCAGAAGCAAACACCGAGCGAGCAGACATGGAAGCTAGTTAATGAGAAACGTGTGATGGATAAATAATTCTATTATTGAGATAAGAGGTTAATGAGAAACACGTCCTCTTATTATCCCGTTAATAGAATTGCTCAATTACGTAGAAAATGCATGATAAATCTTAAGAATGATTAGAATGAATGAGTATAGTTCACAGTCATTAGTGTTTATAAACAGGAATAGTAAAGTCATAACAACTTGACGCTCAATGCTTGGAAAAAATGAATGCTATCATTTTATAATAGCTAAAACGATTGTTTACACATCATGCAGGCCACTAACAGCAACAAATTAGGTTAATTTAAATGAATTTATTTGTTCGGACACTTGGTATACTTACTCAAATTATTTTCTCATTGATTTTACGTACTCAAAAAATGTATTCCTAGCCTATTCAATTTTTAAAGGAATATAATTACAAAGCAATTGCCATTTACTGTATTTCTTGAACTACTTAGTTCATAGCATCGTTATTTTACTTATTGTTCACAATTAGTCACTATCGGTCAATTATTGTTAGTTTACTGCACTGAAATGCAGTTATCAAATAATCAATTAATCACAATAGTCATTATGTCAGGGACGTTGATATGAAGATTGTGACGGGGTGCTTCATCTAATGCTCTTGAAGTGGCCATTAACACGTTGAGTGTGGCACAACACACCGCCGGGTTGCAGGGTCTTTTTTCGGACAAATTCCACGATTTAGTTTTTTTTCCAATTGCGTTTGTTGAGAAAAATTTATGATGGCAGTACTACCTCATTAAATTGTAAAATGTACGGGGAAAAAATTAATTTTTGCAAGGGAACCTACAAATTTAATAGTATATTTTGAATTATAGGCCTTTTTAGAAGAGGACTTGGCCGTTTTTGGGCCATCTGCCAGCGCTGTTGGGACGTGCCGCACTTAACGTATTAAATTATGCCCGTTTTGTGTTTCATACTTCTAAGTTAAAAATAATAGCTGATTATATGTTACAAAGTGCAGTCACTTATGGTCATAATTATTGATTTAATAACAGCGAGGTGATATAAGCGTTCCCTGAGCACCTGAAGGACAAGAAAGGCCTCGGCGCCTGGTGGCCCAGCAAGAGCAGCTACTAGGCACTAATGTTCATCATTCATCTACTAGTTACAAATGGCCATCATTAGCGACGTAATGATAACAAGCATTATGATAAAGGATATAGTGATAACAAATATTATTATTACAAAGGATTTAATGATAACAAAAGTATGATGAAGCAACAATGATAACAAATATTATTACACAGGATATAATGATAACAGAAGTATTATTAAAGCGTCGTAACGCACCTGAAGGAGGAGCGCGGCTGGGGCGCCTGGGACGCCAGCAGGACTAAGAACTAGTCACTAATGGCAATCATTAGGGACTTAATAAATATAATTACAAAAGATATAGTGATAAGGAAACTATTATTAAAGCATTAAGATGCACCTGAAGGAGGAGCGCGGCTGGGGCGCCTGGTGCGCCGGCAGGAAGATGGCGCGCGTGAGCTCCTCGATGGTCGACCCCAGCAGCGCCGCCGCCACGTCCGCGCTCGCAGGCCGCGCGAACTGCGCCTTGTGCGCCGCACCGTCTGCCGTACAGGGGGGGTTATGGCACACGTTGTGGCGCACCTTGTGGCTCACGTTGTGGCGCACGTTGTNACAGGTCATGGCACAGGTCATGGTACAGGTCATGGTACAGGTCATGGCACAGGTCATGGTACAGGTCATGGTACAGGTCATGGCACAGGTCATGGCACAGGTCATGGTACAGGTCATGGTGCAGGTCATGGCACAGATCATGGTACAGGTCATGGCACAGGTCATAGTACAGGTCATGGTACAGGTCATGGCACAGGTCATGGCACAGGTCACGAATGCAGCACGTCTCAGATGAATGCATTACACACATACTCTCAGATAAATAACTGGGACGATGTCCAAATAGCAACACACAACACTCTCTTACATAGAGTGAGCAGAGAGCGGACGTAGCGCTGGTAAGCACTTTTAATGGACCAAACCTGGGGCCATACTTTCAAAACTCTCTAAGTGAACGTAAGTGCTTACGCTCTATTTTCTTGTCTATGATTGGTGGATTTTGCTTGAAAGGCCGTCAATGATTGGCTGATGAACTTACGATCTCTTAACTTTTTTTGAAAGTATAGGCCCTGATGAGTTCAGTTCCACTCAGATGAGCTTAGAAAAGCTGAGCTCAGAAGAGTCGAACTCAGAAGAGTTTAGTTCCACTCAGAAGAGTTCAGAAGAGCTGAGAAGAGCTCAGCCGAGCTCAGAAGAGCTGAGCTCAGAAGAGTACAGAAGAGTTGAGAAGAGCTGAGAAGAGTTTAGTTCCACTTAGAAGAGCTCAGCCGAGCTCAGAAGAGCTGAGCTCAGAAGAGTACAGAAGAGTTGAGAAGAGCTGAGAAGAGTTTAGTTCCACTTAGAAGAGCTCAGCCGAGCTCAGAAGAGCTAAGAAGAACTGAGAAGATCTGAGCTCAGAAGAGTTCAGTTTCACTCAGAAGAGCTTAGAAGAGCTGAGCTCAGAAGAGTTCAGAAGAGCTGAGAAGAGCTGAGCTCAGAAGAGTTCAGTTCCACTCAGAAGAGCTCAGAAGAGAAGAGCTGAGAAGAGCTGAGAAGAGCTGAGAAGAGCTGAGCTGAGAGTAGCTGAGCTGCGTTCAGCTCACGTGTGGTGACGCCGGCGACGCCGAGGTGGTATATGGCGGCCAGGACCCGCCACAGGGCGCGCTGCTCGCCCTCCTTCACCCCCAGCACGTCCAGCGCGGCACGTATGCGCGCCCACGCGATGCCTGCCTTCTGCTTGTCCTCCGTCTGAAGTAAACATCTCATTAGTGTCTCATTATAGGACTTATGATGCCTGCCTTCTGCTTGTCCTCCGTCTGAAGTAAACATCTCATTAGTGTCTCATTATAGGACTTATTGGCGTCTCATTATAGGACTTATTAGTGTCTCATTATAGGACTTATTGGTCTTTCCTGATGAGCAAATAAGACGGCCTACAAACGGACACATATAGACAGGGGAAAATAATGAGATCTTATTAAGATCTATAATGCGATCTTATCAAGATCTATAATGAGATCTTATTAAGATCTCATTATAGAATTTATTGGTGTTATAGAATTCATTTGGGGGTATTTCCTACTGAGCAAAAACGACGGTCTACATGGGGTACAAGCGGAGACATATAGACTGGGGGAAATGATGAAACGACCTGACACATCACGCGTTGCAATGACATCCCCTGCTTATTTAGAGTATAACACTATAACTCCAGCAATATGCTGTATGTGTAATATAATATAATATAATATAATATAATATAATATAATATAAGGCAATATATCGCACCCGCTGCAGGGGTGTCATGAAGAGGTTGGGCTCGGAGAGTATATGGCTATACCTCTAGCAATATAAGGCTGTATATAAAAGTATATATAATATAAGGCAATATATGGCACCCGCTGCAGAGGCGTCATGAAGAGGTTGGGCTCGGAGAGTATAAGGCTGTATATAATGAAATATGGTGAAACATGTTCACTTGCAAACGTGCCAGTATATGTACAGCTGCACTGAGCTGTGGTGGTGCAGTGGTGAGAGACTCTGTCTCTCACACCCAGCGCCCGGGTTCGAGTCCCACCGAGGACAAGTTCTACCGGAAAGCTCAGCTCATGGTCAACTCGGCCATTCATCCAACTCTGGTTGATAAATGAGTACCTGGCTTGTCCAGGGTGTTGTGTAATGCAATCAAATGGTTCTGGCGGGTCAGCGAGCCAGTGATGGTCGGAGAACTACCAGTGGTACCGAGTGCCCGGAAAAACTGACCTATCATCCCCCTCCCTAGTCGCCACTACCAGGATGGGCAATTACAACAACAACAACATGTACAGCTGCAAAGATCCAGTACATGTAGGTACACCTGCAAAGATGGCAGTACATGTACACAGATATGACGAAATATACGCAAATCTTTTCAGCTACATTTGAAATTTCATTTATTTTAGGCGAGTTCGACCTCAATAAATAATTGTGATATTCTTCGGTTTATGAATATTCGATAACGGAGGACGGAGGACGCCAGGACAACTAATATATTTTTTACAGAATAACTCATTGAGAATTAACGGATTTCTAGCAGCTAAATTACCTGTATGGAAGCAGAGGCGATCTGGCCTGTGTGGTCGTAGTCGAGGCTGAATATTTGTGTGAAGCGCGTAGCGTTTGTGTTGAGCAGCGTTCTGCTGTTGCCGAACGCCTCCAGCAACGTCGAGATCGCGTTCAGGCGTTCAACTGAAGAATAAAAACAACGTTCAACTGAACGGTGATAACAGAGCTTTGGGATACGAGCGGATACTGCTTTACAAAGCGCATGGAAACACGATAACAAATTTACCTGATTCTGGTCTTCAAATAATCCATGGCCTAATGAGGTAGCAGACCAATTTTTGAGACAAAATTGATATACATTATTAATCTGAACTTTTTCTGAAAAAGCAACGATTTTTCCGACACTGAGATATATGCATCGTAAAAGTTCCGTAACGAGCCCTCGAAAAAATGTGCTGAAGTGTCTCCTCAGGTCATTATTAGACCATGCAGCATATCAGGAGACAACGAGAATGCACCGCATATAAGCCACCAGTACCAGAGTATCAGCTGATCTATGTTTTCTAACTGAACAACCGTCCAGCTAGACCTGCCCTGCGTCCTGTAAGACCTGCCCTCCATCCTGTAAGACCTGCCCTACGTACAGCAAGACCTACCCTGCCTCCTGTAACTTTACAGCCGTCCAGCAAGACCTAACCTGCGTCCAGCAAGACCTGCCCTACGTCCAGCAAGACCTGCCCTACGTCCAGCAAGACCTGCCCTACGTCCAGCAAGACCTGCCCTACGTCCAGCAAGACCTGCCCTGCGTCCAGCAAGACCTGCCCTGCGTCCAGCAAGACCTGCCCTGCGTCCAGCAAGACCTGCCCTGCGTCCAGCAAGACCTGCCCTGCGTCCAGCAAGACCTGCCCTGCCCCCAGCTCAAGGGTCTTCCATAACGCTGGTCAACAAAGGCTCGGTGAAATTTTTGCTTGGCCCCCAGCAAGAGCTGCCCTGCCCCCAGCAAGACCTGCCCTGCCCCCAGCAGGAGCTGACCTGTGAGGAGGGAGTTGCAGGACGGGGTGGCGAGGGCGAGGTAGTGCAGGACGTGTCTGAAGTTGGTGGTCTTGCCAGCACCGGAGCGCCCCAGGAAGACGATGCTCTGGTCACGTCGCGTCGAGACCATCTCGCGGTACGCCGCCTGCCCCACGGAGTAAATGTGCGGCGGCATCTCCTCTTGCCGGCACCCGCGGAACATTTGGATCACCTGACATCATAATTGTTCCATTAATAATATATAATAGATGCGTGATACTTGGGTTGATGTGTGATGCAACATAGAGACACATGCATTAAAATGATAACCATGGCCTGAGTTGCCGACACCCGCGGAACATTTGGATCACCTGACATCATAATTACTTCATAAATTATACATAATAGATGCGTGACATTTAAGTTAACGTGTGATGCAACATAGAGACACTTGCATCAAAATGATAGCCATGGCCTGAGTTGCCGGCACCCGCGGAACATATGGATCACCTGACATCATAATTGTTCCATGAACATTTGGATCACCTGACACAATAATTATACCATAAATAGTATATAATGGTTGCGTGACAGTTAGGCTGATGCATGATACACCATCGAGACACGTGCATTAAAATGATAGCCATGGCCTGAGTACAAATTAATGTTCTAATCCTACAGTTCATGCGTAATATAGCAATATATTAGTTAGGTTTGTGCTTAGCCCAGTTCTTAGTCCCGGCAAATTATATGCTTCATCCGACAGCTGTAACGAAAATCTGATTTTTGACGGCTAAGTACACATTGATCTAACTTAAATGGCGACAGTAAGATGGGAAATCTAACGGCATCTAATGACCGTCATGGATAAAGAGAGGACAAAAATAACCATCTCCACAGAATTAGTCACAAATGAACAAAAGTTATCAAATGTCGACGTCCAATACAATTCAGTTACCTACAGCCAATACTGGCGTTAAGTAACAAAGTTCCGGGAAACAAACGATAGTCACTTTAACTGTTGGTATAACTGTTCTTATAACTAATGAATTAATGGTAGTAGCAATACCCACAGTAATAATGTGAACTGAAATAACTAACACAATAATGTCATTCGTAATAATTAGGAAATAAATTAACGCTAACTTATAAATACATCAACGCTGCCTAAACTAACAAGCACATAAATGTTGGTTCAAGTAAAAATTGACATGAACAGCCACTTATAATGACTTAACTTCTCTGAATATATGGCTAGTGGCGTGGTGGTGCAAGACACGCACCTTCTCCGAGTATATGGCTAGTGGCGTGGTGGTGTTATGGTACAAGACACGCACCTTCTCCGAGTATATGGCTAGTGGCGTGGTGGTGTTATGGTACAAGACACGCACCTTCTCCGAGTATATGGCTAGTGGCGTGGTGGTGTTGGTGGTACAAGACACGCACCTTCTCTGAGTATATGGCTAGTGGCGTGGTGGTGTTGGTGGTACAAGACACGTACCTTCTCTGAGTATATGGCTAGTGGCGTGGTGGTGTTATGGTACAAGACACGCACCTTCTCCGAGTATATGGCTAGTAGACACGCACCTTCTCTGAGTATATGGCTAGTGGCGTGGTGGTACAAGACACGCACCTTCTCTGAGTATATGGCTAGTGGCGTGGTAGGGTTGATGATAGCCATGCTGGCGCCGGCGTAGGTGTGGATGAGGTTGCAGCCATAGCGCTGACGCAGGGTGTGTAGCACCGACGACTCGTTCAGGTGCCGCAGGGACGACAGGTCCTCGCACCGGTCGAACTGACTGGGGTTCGCCTGATCGTGGTTAAAAAATTTAAGAAAAGTTTATTATGATATTATTATTATTAAAAAATTAAATTAAAAGTTATTCAGTTTTTCAGTGAATAACGCCGTGATTAATTTCGGGCCTCTGTATGTATGAGATGCATAAATAACGTTAATTTAAAAAGCTTCTCCCAACGGCGTGAACTATGATTGGGTGAGAAAGTGATTATGAAATTTCAAATTCAATTCAATATTTAAGTACCTACCAATTTAATCACGAAATTGATAGCAAAAAATTCAAGAATGTTAAGCACGTATAAAATGGAAAAATTCCAGGACCAATTCCTTTCTCAGTTAAAAAGCCATACTCTTTAAAAAATAAAAACCATACTCAATTACTTCTCTATATGAAAATATATTCTCCCTGTATTATCCATAGACAGCGTGTCTTGTATGCTGGGCGTACTAGGAAGCACCCACCTTCTCGACGTCGTCCTCGTCGACGTGTATGACGTCGCCGCTGTGCTCGAGCTTGAGGGCGAGCTTGCCCAGGGGCGGCGCAGGGGACGCGTCGTCGCCCAGGAGACGCGCCGCGCAGAAGCCGCCGCGGTGGACGAGCCACACGCGCTCCGCCTCCAGCAGCGCCGCCGCCACCTGCTCCTCGGAGCGCGCCTGCATGGGACACACCTTCTTGTTAGTTCAAATCTACTGCATTGAACTAACTATATTGTTTATAAATAATAACTATATTGTTTATAAATAATAAAATAATAACTATAGTGTTTATAAATAATAACTATATTGTTTATAAATAATAAAATAATAACTATAGTGTTTATAAATAATAACTATATTGTTTATAAATAATTTAGTGATAGGCCGCCGCCACCTGCTCCTCGGAGCGCGCCTGCGTGGGACACACCTTCTCCTTAGTTCAAATCTATTGCATTGAATTAACTATATTGTTTATAAATAATTTATTGATATTTGATTTATGAACAAAAATAATATATCTAATATTAGTAAATATAAATCAAACTAAATTGTTTATAAATGAAATTTCATAAATAGTGGGAGCATTATAGTTTTCTGGAAACCATGATAATAGTTTTACTCATATAGACAGTGGGAGCGATATAGCTTTTTAACTATGTTCATAGTTTTTATCATAGGTATAGACAGTGGGAGCGATATAGCTTTTTTTAACTATGTTTATAGTTTTTATCATAGGTATAGACAGTGGGAGCGATATAGTTTTTTTAACTATGTTCATAGTTTTTATCATATAGACAGTGGGAGCGATATAGTTTTTTTAGATAGAGACAAAACAATAATCTAATCAACAACAGAGCGCTTTGATTTTTCAGTCGAGAATATTTTCCTATCTAATCTACAGTGTGTTGGGATGACCGAGGCGAGAATATTTTCCAAACTTCTACCGAATTAACGGCACCAGAAATAGTATTAAGAATGTAAAAGAATGAATAATTAAGAAGAATAAAAAAGAAAAAGCACTGGCTGAGCAAAGATATGGGCGAGCTTTGTTTACAGTGAGAGGGTAAACATTGGCAGTGCGTGTACAGGGCGGCAGCAATGCAGCGAATTTCTGCAGGTCGCGCGTCGTGCCAAGCGGACCACGCATCTCTAGCACAGCCTTCATGGAACTTATGAGACGGGGATCGTATTTATTTAACTAATCATTTGATGATTAACAGCTGACTGAAGTTATGGTACGGAGAACGTATTTATTTAACTAATCATTTGATGATTAACAGCTAACTGAAGTTATGGTACGGAGAACGTATTTATAATTTAACTACTCATCTGATGATTAACAGCTGACAGACGTATTAGGTACGGAGAACATATTTATTTAACTAATCATTAGATGATCAACAGCTGACTGAAGTTATGGTACGGAGAACGTATTTATTTAACTAATCATTAGATGATCAACAGCTGACTGAAGTTATGGTACGGAGAACGCATTTATTCGACTACTCATCTCAATATTACACAGCTGACAGAACTTTAGGTACATGGAACTCAACTACTTAACCATTCATCTAATGATTAAATTTTTTCCAGTAAAGCTTGTGAAAAATACTGATATTTCACTTGAGGAAAGCGCACTATACATAGTTGATTGAGGTGCAGTTTAAATGCATCTTGAATTTGACTGTACATAAAACATGAACTTAGTTCATCGAGTGAGCATTATCAAAATTGTGAGCAATCAACATGTTACCTTGAATGAGAATTGTAATCAGATTGATGCGGATTACAAGAAAAAGTCTTATATATAGTTAAAAAAGTGTCATTATCTACCAACCTCGCGCAACACTGCATGCGCGGTATCATCTCTACACGACGCTACACCAATTGTGCTACGCGCGTCAAAAAATATACATAACAGATTCCTGAGGCAGTAAACTGGGCCTATACTTTCAAAAAAAGTTAAGAGATCGTAAGTTCATCGGCCAATCATTGACGGCCTTGCAAGCAAAATCCACCAATCATAGACAAGAAAATAGAGCGTAAGTACTTACGTTCACTTAGCGAGTTTTGAAAGTAAGGCTCCCGGTGTCATAAGTTTCTCAATGTTTGAGTGAGTTGGTAGTTGATCATTTGTATTGTAGTCGTCATGAAGTTCGCAGTGATTCTTATTGAGCTAACATGTCTGCACAAGCATTAGCAGTGACGCATCCCGCACAGTCACGCGATTGTGAAGCTGATCACGAGTGCGACTTTAAAAACTTTCCCAACTTTATTCAGGTTTTGTAGCATGCGTCTTGAAGGTGATTATTACATTTTAAAAACTCCATGTCCTGCAATATTTATACCTCGAAATGTAACGGTATGAAGTCGGGCATGTGTTAGGCTAAATTGGTGAAAATATCGACTATAAAGTTAGATAAAAAATGTAAAAAAAATAAAGTTTCGCTTGGTGTCAATACATTATTTTTTTTATAATTCAAACGATTTCTGTTCGCGAATTGTCATGAAAAGAATTCGATTGCTTTCCGCCGGGTGAAGATACAGTCCACCATAGAGCAAAAGAGTCCAAATATATTATGTAATTCGAGTGCGTATCCCCAATACCGACAAGGTACGTTCCAGTTCAAGATCATTTAACTGCAAGAAACCTATTCAAACCCTAGCAACGAAGAGAAGCATTCAGTATAAGCGCACTTTGATCTTGCGTATTGGCTTCGCGTGCATTTGTCGTTTCTTTACCAACTATAATATACTTTTTCAATAAGGTCCGCTGATTTACATAAATTTTGCTCACGTTGAATGAGTTCAATCATCACTTAAGCTAGAGAACAAAATGCAGTATTTCAGCTGAATGTTGTCTTGCTGTGCTGTAAACAACATCGATACATTATATGTAGGAATCATGTTGGTAAGGATGTCCAAAGAGCACTTTGTTATGTTGCAATGATGGTAAAAAGTATTTATATAGCAGGATTCATTTTGAAATATTAATTGTCATTGACCGCCTGAATGTGCAGCCATTTGTTGATGACCGAAGTAAGATAAACTAATAATTCTCGATTTTTTAGTTTCGGTAAATTCAAAAAATAAAAATATTTAATGTAAACAAAGTGCATGAGGTCGACAGACTTTCCACAATACTTTTAATTTAGCAAAGTGGCTGCTATGTCTGGGAGGAGGAAACCGAAAATAAATAGATCCGAGAACATCAACCGCTCTAAGACCTTTTAATTGATAGTAAAATATCATGTACAAGAAGAGAATCTAAACGAAGACAGTACTGAAAAAGAGAACAAAAGTAATTAAAGATTTTTCGCTTCATTTCTAACTTAAACTTTGCTTTTGATGACATATATTATATATAGCATTTGTTTGATATACGACAACCAGTCGCTCGTCAGGAAAGTTAGCCGCTGATATCCACAATATCCTCTACCATACACTTGTTATCATTTCCAGAGTGGGGGCTTACTGTACAGATGAACATGCGCTACTATAATGGGCTATATAGACGATAAGCAGCAGGGGCCATACTTTCAAATCTGGCTAAGTGAACGTAAGTGCTTAGGGTCTATTTTCTTGTCTATGATTGGTGGATTTTGCTAAAAAGGCCGTCAATGATTGGTTCATGAACATACGATCTCTTGACTTTTTTTGAAAGTATAGGCCCAGGGTTGGTCCGGCAGGGTGACCGCAATTGTTGCTATATAGGTTGGCTGCTGATTACAAGTAGCGGTCGAAGTTTCTCGAGAGGTCGTATTAGAGCCCAATATCGTTGTAAGCTTCAGTTTTAGAATTAAATATAATAATTACGTTAGCTTTTAAATGTACTTTCTCGAATTTTCACGTTCACATTTAGTTTTGCTTCCAGATTTCCATCGTACCTACTTTCTCCTACTATTGTACGCTATGCCTCATTTGCACGCTAGTTATATCTATAATACCTCATTTGCACTCTATATGCCTCATTAGAACTGGCGATGACATGACTGGCGATGGCATGACTGGTAATGTGACTGGTAATATGACTGGCAATATGACAGGTAATATGACTGGCGATGACATGACTGGCGATGGCATGACTGGTAATATGACTGGTGATGACATGACTGGTAATATGACTGGTGATGGCATGACTGGCAATATGACTGGCGATGGCATGACTGGTAATATGACTGGTAATATGACTGGTAATATGACTGGTAATATGACTGGTGATGACACGACTGGTGATCACAAGTGTCGCGTGCAGCGAGTAGTGTTTAATCCTGCTGGGGTCGTTGAATATTGCGCCGAAAAAGGATACTAAGGATATTGCGCCGTCCCAGAAAAGCAAGTCCACTGCCAGGCTAAACTTTTCTGTAAACTAAGCGAAAAAATCTTGACAACTGCCATGCATGTTAGGAAACGTAAACGACATGTTTGATATTGATTTTCTGAGGTAATTTATATTTTATGAGAAATTGTACAGGCTGAGTGTCAGGGCACTCTCTGAGTGTCAAGGTACTCTCTGAGTGTCAGGCACTCTCTGAGTGTCAGGGCACTCTCTGAGAGTCAGGCACTCTCTGAGTGTCAGGCACTCTCTGAGTGTCAGGGCACTCTCTGAGTGTCAGGGCACTCTCTGAGTGTCAGGGTACTCTCTGAGTGTCAGGGCACTCTCTGAGTGTCAGGCACTCTCTGAGTGTCAGAACGCGGAAAATAATAATACAGATAAAAATAAGTCAGACATAATTGAATTTCCTACTAACCCAAGAAAACGACTTAACGTTCTGTTCAAAGTAAAACTATTTCAAGTTAAAATTGTTCCTGGAAACCTTAGAGCGGGTTTAAAAGGCTCGGGCTAGACAAATTTATGTGCCTTTAAATGGAAATTATATCAGAAATACTATTAGTACAGTAAACAAAGAATTTTAAAATGCTAACTTCGGCCGAAAGTGATAAAATATCATTCACCGCACATAGCTTTTACAATATTGAACGGCACATTTCAACTGTACACATAAGAAATGTGTGGTTTGTATAAATATAGCAGATTTAGCTTAGTTCTGGAATCGATAATTAATAAATAAATAAAACGTCATTTCGCAGCAAATCTTGTATGATTGTAGTCGACCTTAACTTGAATCCTATCTACATGAAATCGATCGGGGAAATCTATGAAAGTTATGCAGAGAAAGTTCCGTTTCATAACCAGAACATATATCCTTCCTAATTCTAAATTTTGTTTTCAAAAACGAACAATATAATTAGATAGCATTGAGGTTCTGATTGAGGGCGCGTCGATCACTTTTAAAGAGATTACGGAATAACAAAAAATAGAGTGCGGGAATACGAGACAAATAAAGCCTTAGATATATAATTTGTTCGAAAAAATCAAACGTTTTCAATGAGAATAATCCATTCGATCAGATGTTGGAGCAAATAAACATAGAGACGGATGTAAAAATCGTTCTTTATAAACATGCTGAGCATCAAGGCTCTGAATGAGGGCGCGTCGATCATCCTTGTACTCTTGTTGTTCGAAGGCAGAATCTCATGTTGTTTGAACCATCTTTAATTCGTCATTAATGCTGTTATGTTTCACTTACGAGACGTCGCTGATGTTCGCCGTCGAATCAGCGCCATTAAACTCAATTTGCAGAAGCTGTAGAACAACTCAGCGAAGACCACGAGTTTTCACTTGCAAATCGGTTTTCCTCGAACCAAATTTGTAGAATCAATCTTGCAAGCTTAGACATTATCTATTATGTATATTTTATACCTAGAAATGAACTATTTTGTCGTAATAAAACCAAACAATTCTGTTAAAATTTCGATCAGAACGGTAACTTGATTGCCATAAACTTTTTTGCTTCAGTGTTTCAATTTCAGTCTTCGTAATAATAATTAATTCATTTAATAACAATATAACTTGAAGCATGATAATTTGTAAAAAAAATCATGCACTCGTAAATGTTCTTGCATTAACTAATTTTTAACTGAAAATGAAAAGTGAATTCGTAATGTGCAACGAGCTCACATATGCGCCGCTACAATGTGTGGTCTCGGATATTTCTGGACGGAAATTTCGCTTTCTGATAATAATATTGTCCTAATATTTAAGTCGGAGTGGACCGACAAAAACAGCCATTTGCTCAACTAGAATAAAAGCTTCTACACATTGATAACCTATTTTCAATGTACGAAATCTACGCCGTTGCATTTCTATCCGTGCGATCTAAGTAAGAAGTCCAAATTAGATGCTTTCCAATTAATGATGCATGAGCAAGCTAGGAGGAAATTAAACTCTACTTCCGTCAAAGGAAAAGGAAAAATACAGGTGCATGTAAAAATATTATATTTATAATATCTAATAAAAATTCATACAATAGTAAATCTTCATCGTCAGACGGGTAAAGCTTCTGTTGTCATTTCTGAAACAACCAGAAAGAAACAGAGCGTTAGCTACTCGCGGCAATTCAGATCGAAAAGTATAAATATTCATCAGGCATTTATACTCATAACAAATATTTAACATTCATCTCAGATTCTATTGATCCTAAAACATCATATATCAGAACTTATATCACTTTGAGACGCACTGTAACCCATATGAGAGCAATAAGAACATGGAACATCATAAACGAAATCATTAGTGTTATTGGAAGACATGGAAGACGACGTAACAACGCAACACTCGTTAGGGAGCGCATCACAGGGCAATAAATTAGAGACGGAATAAAATATGAGCAAAGGACAACTAAACGCACGATACATGGACGAAATATGGTTGGTCGGCATTTTAAAAAGCTGTGGAAGAGATCTGTAGAGCATCTCAGGTGCCAGAGCGCCCTGGGCTGCTCTCGCAGGACCTAACCCGTCAGCCATATTCAACGCCGCGAAATCAGGGGTCGACACCGATGCGTAGTTACAACAGCAAACGTCATGAGCGGAAGGAGATTCATGTTCAAAGCATTTAGGATGGCAAGGGAACATTGCAGTGTTAGTGAGATCCGAGTAATTAGCGTCATTTCTCACAACACTCGTAGGGAGAACACAAGGAGTCCAAAGACGTTCGCTGTCACACTGCGATTCATCTGACCCGCATGCCGATGTATCAGTAGGGTATGACTGGGAAAAGCTTAGGTTTTCTGGATCTGGTAGATTGTGTGAACTTCCGCTGTCTGTTTCTCCGACCTTTGCGGGTTGTTGGATCGGTTTGTGACAGCTAACCGAGGGCGTACATTTACCAGGAATATAGCTAGGTAGTAAACCAGGTGAACTCCACCAACGACAGGAGGTTTTACACACACTTACTCTAGGAGGCCATGAGCGACGTTGAGGCAGCGATAGAGCTTTGGGATGAGGACTGGATCGCCTCGGCTGATAGCGGCTGTGACGGGCGTCTTCTAGAGTACGACTTCTTCGAACACAAAAGTTACAGCCAGGAGTGTCCTCCTTTGCTTCCTCCGATAGCTCTATCTTTCGCTCCATCTGCCTCCTTTTCAGCTGCCGGACTGAGGTGGTCTTGGTCCGCTGGTCCGAATCTGCTTGACGAGACGAAGGGTCAGTGGCTTTACAACACGAGTCAAAATTTGTATCAGATTTGACTGCATTTCGAACATGAATAGGATGAGAACGTACTGGATAGAAGTTAAGGGTGGTGGATCTTGGAGGGACGGACGGAGGAGTTGGCAGCGCTCTAGGAACTCCAGAAACCATGTGTCGAGCCAAATTTTCGTGCACCACACCAGACGGGCGACGGAATGTTCCAGAACTGCCCGGAACGACAGCGTCCAACGAGGACTTGCGCACAGGTGGAGAAGGAGCAGCAAGGGAACTTTGACGACATATTGCATCATGCGATGGTGGTGGTTGAAATAGGTTATATTCAGGTACGCGGTTATCTTCATCCGAAAAGACGCACACAGCAGGAGAAGCCAAGTACTCTCCTGAGACAATGGAGCTATTGCAGGCATCACTCTCACCACTGGAGGCTGGCAAGGTGGCGAATTCACCCACGACATCAATTGCTTTATTCTGCATTCCTTTGGGTTTGATTTTCGATGATAGAAAGTCACTGATGAACGAGCTTGGTTCCTTGCTGAGATAGCTTGTTCCTGAAGGATCAGAGTGGGGTGGAGAAGAAGAATTCTCCTCAAGTTTGGCGCTGAATTTGGGGCCAATGCTTTTCGTGGCATTAACGAAACTGTTTTTGAATGAAGACACAAATTTTGACTTTCTAACGGGCTTGGAAGGATTCTCTTCAATAGATGGAGTTCCAGGATCAAAATTCGAACTTAGTTCGGTTGCAGGTTCTTCACGTGGAATGTTCGAGCTATCACATACATCGTCGATCGCCTCATCGTAAAAAATCTCATCGTCAGACTCATCTTCGAATATGAAACATACTCCAGAAGGGTTGGTTCCAGCATAAAACTCGGCCAGTCCCTCACTATCGAGAACCGCAACTCCATCTTCGGACCGCCAATATTGACCAACCAATTTGAAGCCATTTTGTACCGGGCAGTTGGCCGTTTTCTCGTTCTGTTCCGCTGCTGAATCGTCGAGAGTTTCTTGGATGGTTGCCTTATCCTGATTACCTTTGGATATTGATAATATCTTCATAAGACATTCAGATTTGCAATCATCAATGGTAGAACGTTTACTCAAATCCACGGAAAAACATCTACGATCACCAATTTTTAATTTGAGTTTTCTTTTAGCGAAAAATAAGTCATCAGATGATAGTGAGGAAGAACTGGATTCGGATTCCGAGTCGGATCTTAGATACTCCTCTACATCCTTGATCGTCATGAAACTAAAATGCTTAGTTTTCTTCATACATACTGGAGGATAGTTATCAGGAAGAGGGGACGATCGTAAAGTAGACTTATCTAACAAAGAAAAATTGGGCATTTTGTGAGTGTTTTCTACCAAGAGAGATATTTCAAGATCTTCCTCAAGTTCATGTTCAAATTGCCTAATTTTTTCTTCAAGTCGACGCATATCTTCATCCATCGCTTCAAAATCTTCATCGCTCACGGCAGCCGTGTGGTCAACATCACTCTCAGGAACCGTAGGTACAGGCAATCCTGGCCACTGCTGACCGAGTTCTGGATCCTCTTTGGGAAGCAGCTGCTCTCTCTGCGTAACTGGACCGCCATGCGACCACCACGCTTCCGAACTGAACGACGAACTGGTAGAGCCCTCTTCCCGACCCGTGCCACGATCGGCAGAAGAGGCTGAATGAGCAGTGGAGGTTACTGCTTCTTTCCTCAAAGATTCGTGAGTTGAAGAAAGCGAATCTTCCAGAGGAGACGTTGAGTCGGGAGATTCGAGTAACTGAGCGATTTTATATTCACAATGGTTTCGGGTATTCCCTTTTGTCTCTACATCGATCTGACGAGTCTTATCTTCGCACGACAATTGCTCCAAGAATTGTTTTTGCCACTTGGGAGACTCAAAATCAAATATTTCAATTAATATTTTGTTAGCAATGTATGAAGCCCACCTTTTGAGGTCTTTTTCAGCCTTTTCGATCGGTTCGATCACTGAAAGATGAGGTAACTTGAATTCAGTTCTTATTGTCTTAGTTAGTTTAGTTTCGTCGAAGCAAGGTACATCACAGTATGTAACTTGCGTAAAATTGGATACATAGGTAGCAGGTGGGGATGGCATTTCTTGTATGTCAGTTTTGGCATCGTATGACGACGGCACTCTCATGTAGACAGTATTAATGAAAGATAAATTTGATGATTCTTCACGAGAACCGTTTGTTTGTTCAGTTTTCGAAAATTCGTTACTTGCTTCATCAGGATTCACATCATCCTGTAATTCTGATATTTCGCTAAACAAGCTAATTCTAAGACGATTATTAGGAGACGTGCTCCTCAAGCGCTTGGCAACAGTTTCCTTCTTTTTACGCTTCTGTGTCATCGGGCTAGCTGACTTGGAGCGCAGCGTGTTACTTTCAGCACACTCATTTATAGGAGGTTGAATAGGCTGAATTTGCCTCGCAACTTGAGATCGGATAACATCAGCAGGAAAAGCGAAAGGACGCGGTTTTGACGGAGAAGCTCCATGCATTTGGGCAATTTTGGCAGCTCGATCTGCCAGAGCTTGACCGCGATTAAAGTCACTAGCACAAACTTTTCTAAGACGACTAACATGACACGTCTGCGTAACATTTGTGGCAGGTTCGGTGACAGGATAAACGGGTTTGCTACACAAGGAACTACTACACTCAGATGAATTAAATGAATGAAGCTTCGTATAGGCGGTGACCTCAGGCACGTTAGATTTTCCATCGCCAATTGAGTTGTTTGAAGAATCCGACTGACCTAAGTTTTGGTTGGAAATAATTTCATTAAGTTGACTAGTCTCGTCTCTCTCAGCATCAGTTTTGACGTTGAATGAATTGCAAGGGGCTATGATTGAGCTATCTAATGTTGAGTCAGTTAATGGAGAATTTTCACTCCCGTATGCAGCTTCTTTTGATTCTGATCGATCATTTGCCAGACAAATATCTTCGGTAACAGAATTTTCCACAAAATTATTCGGCAAAGCCCATTCGTCCGTGAGCGTCTCGCCATGACCGACCTTCAATATATCGACTGAAGTTTCGCCATTCGATACATCTTCACTCACTTCCAGCAATAATTCAGTTCTATGGTCTGGAACTGCAACATTTGCGTAGGCTACTGGAGTGGTGCTACTCGATACATCTTCACTTACTTCCATCAACAGTTCAGTTTCCTTGTCTAGAACTGCAGCGGTGTAGGCTACTGGAGTGGTGCTACTCGATACATCTTCACTCATTTCTATTAATAATTCAGTTCTATGGTCTGGAACTGCAACGTTTGTGTAGGCGACTGAAGTTTCGCCACTCGATACATCTTCACTCACTTCAAGCAATAATTCAGTTCTATGGTCTGGAACTGCAACTTTCGTGTAGGCTACTGGAGTGGTGCTACTCGATCCATCTTTATTTGTTTCCAGCGAAAATTCAGTTGCGTTGTCTGGAACCACAACATTTGTGTAGGCAGCTGGAATGGTGATACTCGATATTTCTTTACTGTCTTCCAGAAATAATTCAGTTCTTTTGTCTGAAACTGCAACGTTTGTCCAGTCGAGCAAAGAGTCCTGTATTGGCATGACGTCTTTGTCAAGATAAGAGAGATCAGCTTCAGTGTCGTCAGTAGTAAAGGAAGCATGTATAAAATCGTGATCATCGCGCACGACGGACTCTTTAGTAGGGATGTCCATAAACCTCTCAAAATTGGTTTCATCAAAAATACTTTGGCACGTCTGCATTGAATCTTCCAGCGAAGAAAAATCAAATTGGTTATTTTTAGGAAATTCTGGGTTCGGAATAACATTTGGAGGGATAACAGAGATTTCTCCGGCATTGACACACGTTGCTGAGGTGCATTCTGTCACGGTCAACACTTGATTCTCTTTAATCTCTCCGAACCTGGAAACTTTATCAACCAAAGTAAGTATATCAGACAAATCATTTTCGATAAGTGCAAAATCTGATTCATAAATGTCTTCGTTTGGCTTACAAGAGTCGGCTTGAAATTGCATTTCTGGCATTATTGTTTGTGAGTCTGGTTGATCGACAACGACACCCGTAAATGAGGTATATGGCGGCAAAATGTCCAATTCACCAAATAAATACCCAGAATCGTCAGTCAAGATTTTATTCTTTTCAAAAGTTTCTCTATTTCTAAGCATGGCGTTTGATTCATCAAGCGCATGTAGAGGATCCTTGTCTTGTCGCATAAAAATTGATAAATCGTTGAAATTATCCAGCGAATCTTCTTGAGGAACTTCAGGCGCCTCGTCAATGAATAATACACGCTCGATTGCACTAGAATCTAATGCAGAAAATTTGAGTGATTCATCCAACCCCCCATGTTTTTGTTCGTTAATCGACTCTTTAAAAAAATCGTGTTTATTTGTGTCTTCGCTTTCATACTGAGACGATTTTAGAAGCTCAATATTAATGAGCTTCAATGTTGCACCATCGTTCTTGCTCTCTATGTCCTCCAATGAGGACTCCTGAAGAGTTTTTTTGCATGCGAGTTCTTTTCTCTCAACTAAAGGTGATACCACAGGATTTTTGCCAGGATTGAAATTGGTGTTATCAATTTCGGCAACTTTTGATAAGCACACCATCTCATTACCGGAATCCCGTTGCTCAATTATATTGAATGACATAATACTATGATTTATTTTATTTTGTTGTGATGCATCATTTCTCAAGCAGGAATCTCTCAGGACTTCTCCGTAGCCTGAAACTTTTGACACATCGACTTCCTCAAGATCGCGGGCTACAAGATCGTGACACATGCTGCTTTTTGTTTCCGATGCGTCAACGTCCTTCAACTCGATACTTTTATCTAGTTCTGCTTGAAATGCCGCTGTGGGCTCACTGTTTTTAACTGAGCTTGAAACGTCAGGCTTGAGAATATCATAACCTTGCAGTTGCCCAAAACGAACGAGTGCCTTAGGCTTGATACTTTCATCTGCGTTGACGATTTTAACTTCAGAAGCTTCGTCGATTTGTCCCTCAGTGTCAAGATGAATTGAAAACTCGTCACATTTATCACGTACATTTAAGATATTTGCACGAGCATCCGTCGTAGAATTTGTGCAAATATTTTTGTTATGCTCCCCAAGCTCATTATTAACCTGCAAATCTTTTACCATCAAAACCTCGCACTGAACTCCATCCGGAGATGAGCTGCCGTTGCCAATAGAAATACCGCACTCTTGATTAGGCAAAGCGTTGTGTGGAGGTAAAGAGGGCAAGTCGTATGAATGCTTGCTGGTAACAGGCAATAGTGACGGCGTCAGTAATGAGATATCATCTGAATCTTTGACTGGGACCTCTATCACTTCACTTCGAGTAAGATCAATAGACTCGTTGCTTTCCATACTATTTTCGATCTTCAATTGATCACGCTCAGTAGAAGATGCAACATCGTTAGAATGGAATCTGACATCGAGCAACTCAGTCTCAGCAGCAGAGCCCGTTTGCGAAGCCGCAGCGTTGCTGTTGATCAAGTTGTCTGCATCCCCGTGAGTGGTATTGATTCTATCAACCGTTGTGCAAAAGGCAGGAGTTTCAGAAGGTAAATATTGTAACAGAGTTGGGTCTTTTATAGAAAGACCTTGATATGTATTTTTAGCATCATGACAGACGGCATAGGGAGCAACGGGAGGCGCAGACGAGGGTGAGTCACGAGCCCTGGCAGAAGCAGTTGGCAAGGTGCCAGGAGGAACAGAGCCATCGCGATCAACAAGCCTACGCTGAGGGGACGACGAAGGGGAACCTTCTATCGACACAAGAGGACTCGCGGGGGGAGAAGAGTACCGTATGCTGCCGCTCCTGCGAGTCGCATAGAATAAGTTACTTTCTGTGGTTATGGGACAATTGCCCAGAGGAACGCCGCATAAGCGAATGGCTTGAGGCGTTTCGTTGTCCGCCGGATCTACAGGTGCCACATCGTAGTTTTTAGAGGGCTGGGCGTCCCGGTACATAAGTACATCACACACATCAGAACGTCTCTTGACGCTCTCCAGCTTTGGAGATGACAATTTTCGAGATCGAAACGGCACATATTTTTCATCTGTTTTACTTTTTTCAATGAAATAAGGTAGGAGTTTCCGCACATTTTCGTTTTCATTTTTCATGAGCTTAAAAGCATAAAGCCTGCTAGTCCGTTCCAACCCCAAAGGAGGCAACACATTACTACTGTAAGACTCAGATGCAGACCTCTGTAAATGAGCCATTCTTTTCAAATGCAGTATTTTTCTAAAGAAATCATCACATTCAGAGGTAAGTTCTAATGACCACTTGCATGCAGACGGCAGAGGATCAGACAGGATCACGGGAAAGTGTAAGTCAGTATCAATTGCAGTGACTTTTAAACACGCGAACTCGGTCTCTTCAGCACTAGCACTGTGGCCGGCACCTGAACAACTGGGGCCCTCGATCAAGTCACAGATTTTACTGACCTGCAGAGGCGGCAATGTGCCAGCAACTACTAACGTCACTCGCCCCATTGTGACACGGTCATCCTCGGTACACGTCTCTTCTCTTCCAGACAGACACGCAGAAACAAAAGTCACTTTGCAACAGACGTCATTAACAGCACCAGTTCCTACACGCACGTCATTGCACAAGTCGCCTATGAATCTATTATCAGAATTTGTGCCACGGGAACACACCAAACATGAAGAGTGTTGATCAATAAATTTATATTCGGGACTAAACTCACTCAAATTTGATGTTATGAATTCTTTTGTATTTATTTCTAGACGAGGACTCGAGATCACTTCATGAAAATGAACGCTCGGGCAACGACGATCACAGACACAGCCGACGGTGTCCCTCTGAGATGCCAATAACGCGCTTGTCTCAGAGAATTTTTTTCCTCTGTACAAACGCTGATCATAAGGGTGATACCGCAATTTCAACTCCGGGCCCGAAGACTGACGACGACTTTTTACAGCGTATTCTCGTTCATGGTACTGCGTCTCGGAATTAAGTGGGAACGTGCACCTCCCACACAAGTTTTCACTCGAAGATTTCTCTATAACTAAATAAGATTTTTTATGCTTGAAATTTGTGGTTCGATCAGGCTGAACTCCATCAAAATCATGCACAGCGAGAGTTTTTTCATGTTCAACAGACACTGGAATAAAGGGCAGTAAAGTTGTTTCCTGCGAGCGATCTAACACATTTTCTTGACCGGGCTCCATCGGAACGTTTTTACTCTTCATGCAAGCCGTGAAAATGGATGAATGGAATCGATTGATATGCCCATCAGTAAGATTTTGCTGCAATTTCGGCTGCCGTCCGTTCATGGTTACTGGGCAGATGTCGAGCCGGTGGACGGTGAGACGTTTTTAGACACGTGGTCACTCGGGCACGGTTGAGACCTAACTATGGCGCACATCTCCCGGTCTGTATCATCCTCACGCATTCCGCTTCCGTTTTCGGGTGTGTCCAAAGCATCGTTCTGTTGGATGAAACTGAACTGACTTCAGAAACACGCACGCGTCCTGGGGCCATACTTTCAAAACTCGCTAAGTGAACATAAGTACTTACGCTCTATTTTCTTGTCTGTGATTGGTGGATTTTGTTTGCGTGGCCGTCAATGATTGGCTGATGAACTTACGATCTCTTAACTTTTTTTGAAAGTATGGGCCCTGGTCTACGTAAATATTAGTGCGTAGTCGCTCGCACACTTGGCGCCACTCGTTGAAGTGGCCGGTTTACGTATAAGTCGGGCCTGAGTGACATGGACCTCATCTCAGCTGCAAATGAAACGGCTGAGTGCCATGGCAAATTGGAGACTTGGACGATTTATCGCAGGAAAATGGCAACGAGTGAGTTTACATTTGCACAATATTACATTTCTACCCGCAGTCATTCTTCGTTTGTTATAAAACGCTACTCAGCTCTCATTTAACTCGCCAAGGCACGATTGAATCCGAAATACTTGAATCGAGCAGCAGAGCTTTGAGCCGGAAGACTACAAACGTCTTGTACTCGTTTCATCACTGACGGGATCAGAAAATAACGGTGAACTTTAGCCTCCAGATGCCGATGCCAGGCAAATATCTCTACTACCGTATTCCCACTCAAGAGCATCAGTGTCACTTAAAGTGAATGCTCTCGACGATGAGGCAACTGCGTGCGAATAGGATCTTCCGAAAGAAGATCTTCAGAAGAGATTCGAACGCCTAACAAAGAACAGACAGCCGTACTTTCATTGATGTCGAGTGTAAAGCGCGGTTGCGACAGCCGAGTTTGTTCGTTTTACACATTTCATAGATGGTTAGAATGAAATATGAAACACAGATATATTTTAATTAGGGTAACAAACAGTTTTAACGAGCGCCATGAATTGAATGGTCAATTTTTCAACAAAATAACTCCAGTCTCCGTTAAAATGCCGAAAGTTGAATACGGTATCATTCAAATTGCATCGCGCTTGTGTTTGGCCAAACACAACATCAAGTTTAATGATGGTTACGAATATCCATGCATGGAGCTGACATGGAGCTATCGCTTGTACTGCGCACGAGTTAGCTCACTGTCAACCCATACAATCATTCATAATAAACCCTCCTTACAATGGTTTGGCAGCTATAGGTTTAACTAATAACGAGTGCACTAGTATACCGCAAATAGCTCATCACAAAATAACGAGTACCGAACTACACCACATGCAACTACACCATGCATCACAAGATTTTGGAGACCTTTTCCCAGTGCACATTACTGCAGGCAGTGATGCCCATCTTGCCATTCATTTTAAAAGAGCGCAAACTTAGACGTTGATTAGCGAGAAAAGTCCAACAAATATATTTATGAAGTTTAGATCTTTACTAAAAAAGTCAACATTTTTTCTCTTCTTTAGATGACATTATATCGATACATCTAGCTTTCACGGGACACTTTCTCATCTGTAACGGAATTAGTCTGCCAAAATTCATTGACGTTCAGTGAAAAACTCGAAAGCAACCGATTCACGATAGAGCCCAGATGCAATATATAGACAAAAGTACATGTGATCAGACGCACGTAGTTGGTAAGAAGGCTTCAAAAAATTAATGAAATTAAATGGTATAAAAAAACATGGCCTGCGGCCGTCAAATGATTGCAGGCTCGAAGTCTCAGCCAAGACCAACATGCACGTCCGACGCTGCCATTCGTGTATATATATATATACACGACAGACAACCATGCAGAGAAGAATAAAAATAAAACTGCATGGATAAATAAAACAATAGGGCGATTTTCAAAAAGTGACAACGCGAGTCACTTTTGGGTGTCACAAAAAGTGACACCGCGAGTCACTTTTGGGTGTCACAAAAAATTACACCGCGAGTCACTTTTAGGTGTCACAAAAAGTGACACCGCGAGTCTATTTGGACGAGCACAGACGGGTAAATTTGATGCCTAAACTGTCGATACATCAAACAAAACTGTGTGAAAGTCGAACAAAACTGCACACTGTTAGAAAATTACCGTTAACGGTATTACTGGCGTTAACGGTATTACCGGCCGGTCGGCACGTGAAAAGAAACACCGTGTCGCCGTTTTTATTCTAATTTAACACTAGAAATCCGTAAAACATCCGATAAATACTGCGAAACAGTTTATTTTCACGGGGCGACCGGCCACTAGAATGCCAGTGGGACCGTTTTTTCGCCGTTTTTTCTAACAGTGCAGGCAAATTGAGCAACGCACTAAGCATAAAGCGAGTCAAATCCAGCAGCCTTGCCGACGGAGGTTAGGCAAGTCTTAACCGGGACAGAGAGCGCCGCTGCGTTCACAGCTTGAGAGGAATCCTCGCTTGATGCTTAAATTAAGGGCAATGAGGGCAAATAGACGGAACACGTCCAACGTTACATCCGACGACGACTCGGAGACGGAGGACGACGAAGGCGGCGCATCAGCGTGATCGGGGACTAGGAAGTCCCCGTCATAAGGTAAGGTTAAATAAGGTCATAAGGTAAGGTTAAATTAAGCAGCAAAACAAATATCCGCAGATGCATCATCGGTAGCAGCTCTGATCGGCTGATGAAGTTATTTAAGAATCCGAATTTGCAAAGCAAATATGAGATGAAGCTATTTCAAGACGTGAAATTTCGGCGCGAAGGCGGGTTGTAACATTAAGCTTTCTTGTTCAATTTCGCGGGCTTAGCCCGCGAAATAAGTTCGATTTCGGCGCACTGAACAAGAGACAAAGTTATCGGTTAATACGATAAAGAGAAAACTGACGCAGGGAAGATGGCCTCAGCTGCCAAGAGGAGGCCCGGAATAGCTCAGGCAGGATATTCGGCGCCCCTGTCGCCCCATAACCAGGCGCTCGCGTCACCAGGGGAGGCTACTTTAAATTGCAAGATAATATTGACACGAAATCCAAAGGCTACATCGTTCAAGATAATAACACAAAGTCCCAAGGCTACATCGTTCAAGATAATAACACAAAGTCCCAAGGCTACATCGTTCAAGATAATAATAACACAAAGTCCCAAGGCTACATCGTTCAAGATAATAACACCAAGTCCCAAGGCTACATCGTTCAAGATAATAACACCAAGTCCCAAGGCTACATCGTTCAAGATAATAACACCAAGTCCCAAGGCTACATCGTTCAAGATAATAACACAAAGTCCCAAGGCTACATCGTTCAAGACGGTAACCATTTTAAAGCTTTAAAAGTTACAGAAAGCCAATATGCAATAATTAACTATATTTAAAATAATTAAGAAAACATAGACACTTTAATTTATTTCAACTTAAAGATGCGAATATAAGTCGACTTCCAACGAACAAATTCACTACTGCAGCTCAAGCGCGATAGCTTACTACACGAAATTCACCCGGAAAAACATTTTAATGAAATTCGAATGGCAGGGGAAAAAATATCGGGTGCAGATGAAGAAACGGCGTAAATGCGCACTAAAACCAAAGCCAGATATTTTCATGACCACAAGCCAGCACCGGTGACTTGAAGAGGAGATGGAAGGGCGTATGCAAGTCGCCCCCAGAGGCATGAGAGCGGCAAAGAAAACTCGGCACTTGCAGGAGAGTCTGCGCTTGCCGAGTTCACATTAGCATTTAGGCGTCAGTGTAATCTTCCCAGATGGTAATGCCGAGTATAAGTTCAGCAGAGACTCTCCCGGACACCATGACTGCAGAAGCTGCGTCCTGCAGCGTCAGACTGCCGCATGCCAGCTACGCAAGTAGTGGTGTACGTGCCTCGAGTGCGGGAATAAGCCCAGAACTTCTTCAGCTGTGCGTATTATGCTTTGGCAGTTGCCACAACGTACCTTAATAATGGCGTACCTACTACTGCTTCAACGGATACTATACAAGTGATCTGAATCTACTTGACAATATTCGACTCACTCCTTCCCTTTCAAAGATAGGTGCAAGTGTGCACATTTTTTTATCTCGTGTAGTAGCGCACTCGTCTAATGCAGCAAATCAAACCTGATCGGGAGCGTAAAAAAAATGCTTAAAAGACTTCACATATGAATTTTCAAGTTCAAATAAATGCGGCTAGTGATGCAAATAAATCAATTGTAGTACTGATGGATCAGTCAAACGGAGCCTTTACACGTGGCGCAACTAGCAGATCTGTTTAACTCATCAGCGAAGCAAGAAGAGAAAGAAGAGCAGTCACTGAAAATGGACAAATGCTATTGTGAAATGTGTGTAAAATTTATCGTTTCGGCTCTTGTATAACAAA